TTAGCTATTTTTAGCATAGATTTAGACATAGACAAAGACAAAAGACATAGATATAGACAAAGCCCATAAAAAAATTTACCCACAAAAATAGAAATATTTAAATGTGTAGTAAATAATATGAAAACTCTTTAGATTCTTAATAATATATAAAAAATACTGTAATTAGTCCAGACAAGTTTTAGCCAAATGGGTGGTTATTTAAATATTTTATGTATAATATCACTAAACTAGTTAAAATAAACAGAAAATTTGCTATGTAATAGGTGCTTCATTTGAAACAGAAACTTTTTTTTTCTTTTTTTAATATTTTATGTATTAAATGTATTTTGGACACCCGTTCCTTCCAGTGGTACTAAAATACATTTGGGTTTGACCCTCAAAAAGACATTCTTTTTTTGTTTTAGTTTTAACATCTATTCCTGATTTTTTCTATGGAATAAAATTGCCATAGTTTTAAGTTATAAAGAAAAAATTAATTGAACAAAATATATATATATATATATATATATATATATATATATATACATATATATATATATATATATATATATATATATATATATATATATATATATATATATATATATATATATATATATATATATATATATATATATATATATATATATATTTATATTTATATTTATAAGGTATCAATTCAAATAATTTAAAAAATAAATTTTGCATCACACTAAAATTTTTTGGGGGAGATATGGAAAATGCAGTTTTGTTTATTGTATAAAACCGCAAGTTTGCATAAAAATGCCAAATGGTGACAGTTTGTACTTTTGATAGTTCTTTAATGTTTTTATAAGTATATATTATTATTTTTATCATTAAAAACAATAATTTAGGAGTCGACTATATTTAACTTAAAATTATTCATTTTGCTAACATCTGTAGAGGTTTTCCTTCACAGTTGCTGACTTTTCACAATAGTGCTTAACGTTAAATTGACGCAACTAAATAAAATCAACAAAAGAAAAGCGGTGTTATTCCATATGAAATCAACTAGTTTTACAAAAGTGCCCCAGGGTACCGCCTCAAATTTACTTTAAATTTTGACCACCCACAGCTTTTGTGAAAAAAACAGTCCTGAAAATTTCAGCTTGATTGACCAAACCGGTCAAAAGTTATAATTGAATCAATATAGATCAAAATTGGCAAAATTTGAGTATCTGGAGCTTACAGTAGATTTTTTTGATTTTTGACAGAGCATAACTGTGTAAGTAAAATAGATAATCACCTAAAATATTTTACAGTAAGGTTTTTCACACAAATGATCTATTTTTGTAGGTGTTTTTGACTGATTTTAAACAATTTTTAAGTTCTTGTACCTCAAAGTTGCTAAATAACACAATATTAGAAAAAAATTTGGAAACTTTAATGTGCTACAGTTCAAAACCAACAGACAAGCTGTGCCAATTTTTTTTTTTTTTTTTGTGTACTTAGAGTAACCACCTGCGGAAAAGTTATGTGCTATAAGTTATTTTAGCACTTGCAGCATCCTGTTAAAATATCACTTTTTTAAAAAAATATAATAAATTATATTCACTTACAATCACCAAAAAAGATCTAAAGACCTCTATCTTATATACACCAAAGTCATTGACTTTGATCTATGACTTTGGTGTATATTCTTAATTTTCCCTGAATAAATATAATCAGTTTTCCCTAAAATAAGATCAGTGTCTAAACTTAATTTATTTGATATGATTTTATAATATGTATTTGTTTAATTTTATACATATTATTATAATGATATAATTTTCCCATGGTTATCATTTGAGTGTAAAATATTTCAATTGCTTCGTTTGTATTAAAATCTAAATCGGCACAGTATTTTCTGGTTTTTATTATTTTAGTTTTTAATATTACAAGAACCAAAAACTAAAAAGTTTGTGTGTGCAGAAATAGTTATATGTAGAAATAGTTTATTGGTTGCATTTTAGGCAATTATAATCGCATTTATACTTAAGATTTTTACTGATTTTATTACTAGAAAAATATAAAAAAGTTTTTCTTAGATCATAATGTTACAGTTTAACCCTTGATTTTAATATTTTTAGATTAGTAAAAAATGTCAGAGAAATGTTGCGGGAAGAGTTTTAAATGAAGCTTGTGATAAAAAGTCATTATGTAGAATGGTAGGAAGAATAAGACTAAAAGATACTGATATTATAGTTTTAATTCAAAGGATAGGATACACTTTCGAACCAAAAGAAGATATATGTTTTCACCATGAAAAAGCCTATATTTCTAGATTTAAAGCGCTTTAAATCTAGAAATATAGGCTTTTTCAAAAAGTTTGTACTAACTGTATGGATAAATTGAAACTTGAAAATTACAGAAAGTAGTCAAGATGAAGCTGCTAAAGAAGATTTCAGACCTTGATAAGACAGTTCTTAATAAGAGTGTGTCTTTATTAAAAATATCTCTACTCAAAAATATCAGTAAGCGCAAAAAATTAGGATATGGAAAGCAAAACACTAAAAAAAATATGACAAACCTAGTAGTGTCAGCATTGAATATAGACCCAAAAGATTAGGTATCGGAAAAATGTGTAAACTGTAATGGTTTAGACAAATAAATAAGCTTGAAGGAAGAAAAAATTCAACTTCTAACACCAACTTCTGATAGTTGATCAATTAAAAAAAACTTGCAAAACATTTTCATAACATCTTGTTAAAAAAGCTTGAAAGTTAAAAAATGAAAAAGGAATGCTTGCTAAACCTGAGGCTAAAATAGAACAGCCTTTGGAAGATATTGTTAAACAAAAAGCCATTGAAATTTATGACTCTGAAGAGTTAACGAGACAATGTCCAGGAAAAAAGATGTTTCTGTGTGTATAAATAATGCAAAAGTAAAAAAAATAATAAAAAAAAACCATTAATATTTCGATTAAAGGAACTTTATCTTGAGTTTAAAAAGTTATACCCTACACACAAAGTTGGATTTAGCAAGTTCTGTAAACTAAGGCCGAAGTGGTGCATCACAGTTGAGAGTAGTGAAAGTCACTCAGTTTGCGTATGTTCTTATCATCAAATTGCTAAGTTGATGTGTGCTGCTTTACCTAATTATCTTAATAGATCTTTTTTTATGTATAAAGTTATCAAAATAAAAAGTGTTATGTAAATGTAATTATTATGCATGTAATAAAAATAAACAGACAAAAAAACATAAAAAACACAATAAATAAAAAACAAAACAAACATTTAATTACAAAGATTTGATGAAAGTGTTTGTAATATAGATAGTCGAAGCTGCGTGTTTTATCTATGTTCTAACTGCCCTGGTAAAGTAAATTTGAAGACTTACTTAGAAAATGTGTTTAAAAATATTGATTTTAATTTTGTCAACTTGTTTCTCTGAGCAGCTGCCTTGTTCATCAAGGTTCGTGTTTCTGAGTTAAAGAGTTGAGAGAGGGTTATAACCACAATTAAGTAGCCTCCTCGTTTGTAGTGGCCTTCTTGGCCATGGGGAGGTGAAATAACAGAAAGAAAAGAAAAAATACATTGTATGTTTTTACAATGATGAATGGTACATAGTGCTTGTGCTTGAGATTTGTAATGAAAACCAAGATAATAATGTAAAATTCATGCATAGAAACAAATTAAATTTAAAATGGACTTAACATGCACGACCAAGTCAGTGTTGGGTTTCTCTATCCATTAAGAGTAGAAGTGCTTGTGACTACAAACTTGCTTATAATGATTATGACAGTATTATGAGTTATGTAAATCAGAAATAAAGAAATTAGTACTTGTGTTTCATGTGTATGTACACTTCTTCTTTCAGCATTTTTATTTTTTATTTTTATTTTTTTGAAATATAATATAACTTGCGCTACTAGGTATACTTTTAAACTAAAAAAACATTGCACTCAAAATGTTAAAATTATGTTACAAGATAGAGTATAGGTCTTTATATCTTTTTGGTGATTGTCAATATTTAGAACCCTGCCACTAAAAAGTTTCATAATATATTTTAACTGCCTGCGCTACTTTCTATGTCAACAAAGTGAATGTAATTTATCGTATTTTTTTAAAAAAGTGATATTTTAACAGGCTGCTGCAAGTGCTAAAATAACTTTTAACACACAATTTTTTCCACCAGTGGTTACTCTAAGTATACAAAAGTAACAAAATATTGGTACAGCTTGTCTGTTGGTATTAAAGTGCAGCACATTAATTTTTGAAAATTTTTTTCTAATATTGTGTTGTTTGAAATGACCGAGCATTAGTGTTACACTTTTTTTTTGTATATCACTGTGGAAAAGTAAAATAATTTTAATTTCAATAGAATGTGTTCAAATGAGTAATTATAATATGGGTGAAGTCATTATGGCGTGAAATTTTTTTTTGTTTATATATATACTGGATACCACTGTGATGCTACACTTTTGTGGTTCTCTCGCAGTCTCCATGTGGTATAATTGGGTTCTTAATTAGTCCAATAAAAATAACTTTATCACTGTAATGCTATGTAACATTTTTGTGGTTCCCTGACAATCTCCATATAAGTAAGGGAACATTGAAACAATTCCTGTTTTTAACAATGTTGAGAAAATTGAGTTCTCCAAACCTAATAAGTGTCTATGTTGCAATACATTATAATATATGTTTTTATGTTGCAATACATTGCAATATAAGCTTTTATGTTCAATACATTGCAATATTTTAGTATTTCTTATTTCAGCTAAGAAATTTAATGTTACCAAGTGTTACCAATGTTGGTTTTATCATTCAGACCAAAACTAGTATATAAAAATATTGTTGAACATTAAGGAAACTGTTATAATTTATAACATTATAGTTTGCATCAATATCATGGGTTTGCGTTATAGTTGATAGTGTCAAATTATTTTGTTAGAAATTAATTTTTTTATTTAATAAATGTTATTCTCTTATTAGTATTTTTCTCACAAAGTCATGGTCACCCTTACATATTAACCTAAATAAAAAAGAAAAACAACTTCAAAATTTTGTTATTGTTTTTAGAATAACAGAGCATTTTAATGAAGCAAAAAGCAACAGTGAAAAAATATTTGAGAGAGTTGATCTTAATAAAGACAAATTTGTATCTTGGATTGAATATAAGTCTCAACTAATGGATCTTGACTTGAATTCTTTAAATAATTCTGACCAAGCAAGTAAGTTTTTATTATTACTAAAGTATGTTTTTGGTTTACACCTAAATATGTTTTTTGAATATGTTTACACCTAAATATGTTTTTTGAATATGTTTACACCTGATTAGTTTGATAAAATGTTTGTCAAAAATTTTATTTAATAATAAATAGTGTATAATGTTGGGGAACTGTTCAATAAACTTACTGTTTTCTCTGTCTTTCTAGATTTTTCATAAAAGTTCTCTGCTTTCTCTGTCTTTCTAGATTTTTCTTAAAAATTCTCTGCTTTTTCTATCTTTCTAGATTGTTCCTAAAAATTCTCTGCCTGTGTAGATTTTTCTCTGTTTTCATAGATTTTTAATAAAAGGGAATAAAATTTTGAAGTCATTTCTACATTTCTGCTTTCTCTATGAGATTAATTTTAAAACGCCTCTGTTTTTTACTTTTTTGTAAATAGTTTCTTCTTTTTATGTGTGCTGCATTTAAGTAAAATCAACAAATGATTTTAATTACTACTATAAAATCAAAATACTATATGACAAATTACCTAATAATTGCTTTAAAATACAGAACAAAATTATCTAAAATATAATAATTATCAAGAATAAATATTAAATAAATTTTAATATTAAATAAATATTAAGTAAATTTAAGTCAAAGGAAAGTAGAATAGTAATTTGTTCCCAATCATTCCAGTAATATCAGAAGTAGTTTCTTTTTGTAACTTATTTCCAATAATATGTTGCAGTCATTTTTTACCAGTATTTTGTTTCTATTGCTACATTGCAGTCACTTCTACCAGTAGTTTGTTTCAAATAAAATGTTGCAGTCATATCTACCAGTAATTTGTTTCCAATAAAATGTTGCTTTTGTTTCATTCCTATCATTTAGTGTAATAGTGTTGTTTTTAGGTACTTGCTCTATGTATGATGAAAACAATAAAAATTGTAAGCTTTAGGTTTCTAGTCCTATCCTTATTCCTGGTACTACAGCATTTAACTCTCTGCACAGCAGCAATGTTTGTCAAAGTTTTTGTTATGGAGTTAAAGGGTTGGCAGTTGCAAAAACACATTAAAAAAATAATTCTTCCGACTGTTAGGGTCTCCTTGGTCTCAGGGAGATAAATAAATGTAAAGAAATACATAAAAATTAGTTTCAATAATATGTTACATTTTTTTTCCGCAAAAATGTTCTATTGCTTCATTTTTTTGTACCAAAACAATTTTGCTGTAAAGGACAGCTTTAAAACTCAGTTTAATAGTTATGTTTCCAGAACTTTGTGGAAGCTCTTAGAGAGGCTAATTTTATCAATAGTTTTAATACTTGACACATGGCATATGTTGTGTATTGGTGTGTCTTTTTAGTGCTTATGATTTGTATTTTTTTATTACTTAAACTTATAATTGTTGTATCAAATATTGTAAAAACAACTTTTTGATAGTATTTAAATATGCTATTTAAAATATTTTTAATATTTGTAATCAAAAAGTAATTTTAAAGTATTTTTTTATTGTTATGTTATACTTAATGCAAATATTACCAGATATACTTGCTCATTGTGAGATTAATTTAAGTTGGTTGTTTACTCAAATAATCTCAGTCTCCCAAAAAATAAAAAACTTAAATTAATCAGTGAGATTAATTTAAGTTAGTAATTTCCTCAATGAATCTCAGATTCCTAAAGAATTGCAATTAAATCTTGCATAAAATTGATCAAAAAAGTTATTGTCTAATAAAGCCCTTTCTTAGAATACTAAATCTCTTGTTTCTTTTTTAGAATTTATGTTCTACACACTATCTCATGTGTACTGCTAATCTAGACCGGGAGTGTTCAAAAAAAAAATTTTAAAAACATGAATTAAAACACACAAGAAGCCAAAGTTGGGGCAAATAAAAAAAAATGTTATTTCAAAAAAAAAATTCCAAAAATATTGATTTTTAACTTGCTGCAAAATATCCCGAATTGTTCCTAAATTATTTGGCTTTGAGCGCAGGGTAAATGTCAATATTTTGCATAATTTATCTAAAAAAAAAAAGAAATTAGTATTTTTTTAAAAGTATTTTTTTGTGTATTTGCATAAAAATATTTTTTTTTATTTAAACAACAATCTAAAAAAATAATTTGGATTTATTTGGATTCTCAAAGCCAAATAAATTAGGAATAATTTGGAGAATTTTTGGAGCATTTTTTTTTTTTGCTGCTTGAGCACAAGTTAAATGGTAATATTTTTTGAATTTTTTTTTTTATAATTGTATTTTTTTGATATTTGTCTCAAATTAGGCTTCTTGTGTATTCACATTTTGAAAATTTTATTTTTTTGAATACCTAATCTACACACTGCACTGATATCTTATGTGTATTACTAATTGTAAATTCAAGTTTCAAAATTAGTTGTTTTTTTGCACTATTTTAGAAAAAAGAAAAGTTTAAAACAGAATGTACAATTTCAATTTATTGTTTATTTATGTTAATTAAATAAATATTAAAAATTTGCATTAAAAAGATTAAAAATATAAATTAAATATAAAGTTAATTTAAGTCAATTTTTTTGTATTCCCCTATTATAGTATCCAGCAGGCCTGAACAGGAATGGCGTGCGATTGAGTGCTATTGCTGACTATGTAGATGATTTTATTATTTGTTGACTGTTCAGACAATTTTTATTAATTGTTGACTGTTCAGACAATTTTTAAACATTTTAGAAACACGCTGATGAAAATGAAATGCTAGTTAAACTAGAAAGAAAATTAAAAGAATATAATGAAAAAAGAAAACAATTCTTTACAAAAAAGAAAATATGTATGCACTAAATTAAAACTCAAACTTTAAGTGAAAATTTCTTTTTTTATGTTTTTAATTGCGTTTAAAATAAATTACTTAAAACTTTATTTAAAAAAAAGATTCAATTGAAGTTATTAATAATTTAAAGTAACTTCAAAATTATCTTTCAAAAGATTTTTAGAAAGACATGTAAAAATAGTTTCAAATGAATTATATTTAAATTTATCATAAAAAAAACATGCCTACATAAAAAAAAAACTAAACAATTTGTTAGTTTACACAAAATACTTATATTTTTAACTATCACTATAATTATTTTTTTATTTTATTTAAAGCCTTTGCGTTAACTAAAAACTTTAGGAAAGATCAACGATTACATATATAACATAACAATTTTTTTTATAGCAATCAACTTGTTAAAACATCAAAACTGCTGTGGTCAAATTGAATTAAAGGTTATACCTAATGTAATAATTATTTTGCATTTAAATTTTTAAAACATTAAAACCGCCGTGGTCAAATTGTTAAGAAAAAATATTATAAGTGTGGTTAGTTACAGCGTGCAATTATACACTATTCCTGTCCAAGCCTGATCCAATAATAATTTTGTCCATTATTCCTTACACAAATTTTTTTTTGTAAAAGTTTATGAAATTTTATCTAAATGATCATTTTGACTTTTGAGTAATTAAATTTAACAAAAATACATTTAAGCTTATAGAACCTTTTTTATTATTTTTTGTTAATATTTATTATTAGTTGTACATTCTATTTTATTTTATATTAGTTGGCGTCACTGTTTTAATTTTTGGTTGATCTTTACAATAATCTTTCTAAAAAATTACTAATGGCCAGTGTTCTAAAAAATTACTAATGGCTATATGTACCTTACCAAAAATTTGGTAACAAGACTTTAACATAGAGAATAAATACTTTGATTTCTCAAACATTGAGAATGGACACACTCTGATTTATCAAAAAAATTAAAAAAAGATTAAATAAGTAAAGTTACAAATTTGAATATCATCATTCAGAGCAATGCTGTTCTTCTATAAAGCTGGTGTGTCCCGATTAAAAAGAATGTTAATTTAAAAGCAACTGAAACCATAGCTACTACATCATGGATAGATTGAGGACTTGTATACTACAATGAGGAATATAACCACTTTCTTAACACCAATCAGTAGAGGCTTTACTAATGTAAACATTAGTCTGGTGAGATCAGTAATGTACTTAATGGATTGTCTAAAATTTCTTAAAATAAGAAAAGATGATGAAAATGTATTTAAATAGAAGATGTATTCAGATAGAAGATTTATCAGCTAGACCAAGAAGTTAGACCAAGAAAGACACCAGTTATCAACACTAAGAGGGACACCAGATATCAAAACTAGATATCAACACTAAGAAGGACACCAGATACCAACACTAAAAAAGACACTAGATATCAACACTAATAAGGACACCAGATAATAGTAATAAAAAAGTTACACATCATTCATTGATCTTTCAGAAAACATTAGGATTTTGATTTGCAAGTATACAAATTTGCATTTATGGATAACTGGGCACAATTCACACTTTTTGTAGCAATTGATTTTTCACTACCTTCCAGACTAGTTAGAATCTTTTGCAATTTCTGTACTGCTGATGAACATGCATACTCAAGTTGTATCCAGGGCCCAAGACACCAGAGAGGGGTTGAGTCATATGCCCCGCTTTTTAATAGCATTTAATAGATTTTTCAGTAGTTTTCAGACAAATTGGAGCTCTAAAAATTTTACTATTTGTGTAGTCCTGATAAATGTGTTAAAATTGCCCCTTGCCCCACTTTTCTCCAAAAAAAAATTTTTGACTTTAAATAAGTAACAACTTTAACAAGCTTTAATAAACTTTAAAAATATTTCAAAAATTTTTTTGGTTTATACTTGTTCCATTTGGTTTTTTATCATTCTTTATGATATTTTTAATGTTAAAATGTTAATAGCAAGTTATTTATTTAACTAAAATGCAAAAGTAAAAAAAAAAACATCTCATAAGATTACATCAATAAAAAAAAAAATTATCACGTTTTAAAATCATTATTTTTATTGATATTTGCTAATTCTAAATTTTAACATCAAGTTGTTTTATTTAATAAGAACTATTTACAGTAAAAAAATATTCTACTATTACACAGTATAGAAGAAATCTGTTACTAATTTCTAATTCTTCATTAACATTTTTAACGTTAACAACTTAGTTACAATTAAACAACCTTGTTAAAGAGACAAAAAACAATATTTTGCATTCAAAAAAAGATAAAAGAGTTCAATCACTGCTTAGTTTTTTATTGTCTTGGTGTTTAAGTTGTTTTAATAATATTAATTATCATCGTTTTCTTGTTTTTAATTATATTAATTATGATTGTTTTCTTGTTTTTAATTTCAAAATGCAACTTAGTAGTTAGTTTTAGAGTAAAAATGTGGTTTTAGAAATGGCAGAATAATACTTGTCATAAACACATTTAATGTATAGAGACTGATTTAAAGAAATTTGATTGTTATAGAGTAGATCCTAGAAAAGAATTGTTTTGGAAATCTGAAATAACAGTTGACAAAGTTTTAACAATCTGCCATCATCATGAAAAGATTTAAAAAGTAGAACAATTTCTGTAACTAAGAATTATTATCAATTCAACCCTAAATCTATAGATACTATTAGTTTTAAACAAACATTGAAAATGTAATATAACAATATAGCTTTTTTTTTTTTTTTTTATTCAAAGTTCTTAAACAAATCAGTAAACTAACATCGATATATTGTTCTGTGTAAATATGATACGTTTTATTGGATTGATGTAATAAATAAAATTTATCATAATGAAATGTTTTCCCACCATTTGATTGGTCAACTCCAATCATGCTTATGTTATATCATGTTTTTTTCAGAATTTAAAAGTTTTGTACTTAGCATTAACAACCTAATTAACAATGTTAAATGGGTAAAATATATAGATTACAATATAATTATAATTACAATATATACCAACAATTACAAGTCTATATGTCTTGTTCATGATCTTGTTTTCTTGGTTGGATGTCAATTCAGAAACAATAAACTTTTTTTTAATGTTTTTGTTTTTTTATATAAAAATTTGAAAAATATAACAAACACCATTAATGATTAACTAATGATTAATCGTTTTCGAAGGGGTTATTTAACCTGACCAGGGGGTTATGATTAAAAAATCACAGTGCTGTTCTTTAAAATCTTTAAAGAGTTTTTTTTAATGAATTTAGTTATAAAATTTAATTTCAAAGCTTTTTGTATATCATTCAAATTATTTTTTTTTTCAGTTGATGAAAAAAATGAGTTTTTGCGAGAAGCAAAAAATTGGAAAAATGCTGATTATGATGGAAACAACATTCTCAATATGAGTGAGTTTGTTGTATTTCTCCACCCTGAACATAATAAAAGAGTTATAGAAATAATGGCTGATGAACTCATAACACCTATGGATGTTAATAAAGATGGCGTAAGAAAATTATTATCCTATATTTAATGAAAGTTTATATGTTATGTTATCTTGTTTTAAAAAAATATGAATTTAAAAAAATTCAAAAGCAAAGTTATGTAAAAGTTTTTGAAAATCATATTTGCTTCATAAAAAACATTTTGGAAAAAAGTTTATTGTAAAAACCTTTTTCAGCTTTTTTGGATTTCTACAAGATTTATTATCTCCATTAATGTCTGAATTTTGTACTAAAGATTCTTTCATTTTTGTTAAAGAAGCCAACCTATTTATCAGCTTTCTTGTATCTTTTGATATCGCAAGTTTATTCACAAACATTCCATTACATAAAAAAAATAGATATTGCTGTCGATGTTATCATAAAAAACAATGCAATTCTTAAAAGCAACAAAAGCAATTTAAGAAACTCTTTTTTTTCGCAACAGAACAAACGCATTTTTATTTTAAAGGACAGGTTTATGACCAAATTGATGGCGTTGCTATGGGTTCTCCTTTAACACCTGTACTTGCTTATCTGTTATGGGTAATTTTGAAGAAAAATTGGTCAAATCTTTTAATGGAGAAAAACTGTTGTTTTACAAGCATTATATAGATGACATTTTTGCTGCTTTCCCCTCAGAAAACCACACAATTTTATTCTTAGATTACATTAACAAATAAATTTGTTCAATATCTTTTAGTATGGAAACGAAAGAAAACTCAAAAATATATTTTTTGGACATAACTCTGTATAAGTCGAACAATTCAACAATTACAACAGTTTTTCATAAAAATATCTTTACTGGATTATACACCAACTTTTACAGCATTACCTCATTTTCATATAAAATAAGTCTTATAAAATATTTAATTGATAGAACTTTCAAAATTAACAAATTCTTGGTTATTATTGGTCCATTATCTTATTAGCAATCTTTTTAAAATTCTCAAACGTTGTTCCCATCTTAGATAATAGAGAAAATCTACAATTCTTACTTAAATAAAAATAATTATGTTGTTCCATCACTGCCTGAAGACCTAACAAACTCTCACTATTTCAAACTCCCTTATCAAATATCTGAGCAAACAAAGCAAAGACTACACACAATTATAAAGAGACATTGTAAGTCGGTTACATTAAAATAAGTTTTCACTTTGTTAAAAGTTTCTAACTTTCCTCATCTAAAAATTACTTTCCTGTAGATTTTAAATCATTTGTCTTTTACAAATTTGCTTGTGCAGAATGTAAATCTTGATATATTGTGCAGAATGTAAATCCTGATATATTGTGCAGAATGTAAAACCTGATATATTGTGCAGAATGTAAATCCTGATATATTGTGCATAATGTAAATCCTGATATATTGTGCAGAATGTAAATCCTGATATATTGTGCAGAATGTAAAATATTGGCAAAACTTCTTATAAAAAATTTTGATTTATAAGCATCTTCACTCAAAAGAAAAATATTTTACAAATTATAATGATAAATGCTTTTCGATTTTGGATTTTGACCATAACAACATTGAATTAAAAATTAAAGAATGTATTCATATAGGGTGGGAAAAGCCCAATATGAATAAACAAGTAAATCATGTTAAAATGATTTTTACCATTTAATATAATTTACCGGTTCTTTCGTTATATTTGTTAAAATAATTTTTAATAAATCTTTTTGTATGTATAGGAAGTTTTTTATCAATTTTATGTTTCTTCTGTAGTGTTCAATCACCTTCTGTAGTGTTCAATCACCTTCTGTAGTGTTCAATCACTCGCGTCTTTAGGTGGCAAAAGGTTCCTCCAATATAACATGATTTACATCCTGCACTAACAAATTTGTAGACAACGAATGATTTAAAATCTACAGGAAGGTGATCTTTAGATGAATTAATTTTTAATAATTCTTTTTGTATATATAGGAAGTTTGTTTACAATTATATACTATATTTTATACTATTTTTAACAAATATATTTTAACTGATGATGACTATATAAAGTCGAAACATGTCTTGAATAATAAAATGTTTTTAAATAAAATTAAAAAAGTTGTCTTTCTAAAGTATTTTCACATTTTGTGTTGAGAAGAAGATTTGAAAATTTTAAATTCTCAGAATTTAATCAGTAAAAAAATTGCTTCTCAAATTCAAAATTTGGTTTTATACTTGTTACAAGCATATGTTTGTAAAAGTTTTTACTGCTTAAAAAATTGTTTTATGTTTTCTTATTGTAATAGAATGCAGGCATTTTAAGAGTTATAACAACAATTAACAATTCCACCAAAAAAGTGAATAATATATTAAAGTAATTAATATATAAAGTATATAATTCATTACATAAAATAAAAATAGTTCGTCCTACATTTCCTGAACCGATAAAGTTTCAAATAGCATTTTCTAATCGGCGTTTGTAATGAAGTCAGAGATTTTTTTGGTGTCATCTTTTTTGTAATTAAACTTTAAGTGGCTGTGTAATATGCTATTAACTCTATTTTTAATAATGAAATCGAAAAAGATGACCATATGACATTTATTTATGTTACCAAGAACAGATCTTGGATCAATAGCACAGATGCTTGAGTTGTGAAGATTAGATCAAGTGTAAGTAGCAGAATTATTTGATATTTCAAAAGTTGGAACATTTACATGCTGATACAGAAATGTTTTGCTAAGAGTTTCACTAAAGTTATGTTCGATGCCATTTTCATTTTTAATGTTTGTGATGCATCCGTTTGCCCATATGATCGATGGGAAAGTAAAATCCCCTGTAATTTGTAAGTCTTTGTATCCTTTTCTATCAGCATAGTCTTTTTAAAAACCAAATCAAAAATTGTTTATGTCAATCGTTTGGTCCGTAGATACAACCAACTAAATACTTGTTTTCAAAATACACTGTAGCCCAAATGTGTTCAATTTTACTTAAGTTAAAAACAAAGCTCTAATGGTTTAATAGTTTCAGTAATATATAAATGATTTAATAATTTCATTCAAAAGCATTTGCATTTCAATCTTTTTTTTTTCTTTTTTTTTGCAACAACTTTGTCTTTGAAAAATCATTGCAGTTTATTTTGCAATTAATTTTCTTTTTATAAATGACTTTGTGTTTTTTATTTTAGTCACAATGATAATTATAACGGGGACCAATTTTTTGTATAAATTGGTTCCTATAAATTTTTTAAACATAAAATGGTCATTTACGGTGACATACAATAAAATGTGTTTTTTCGGGGACATGCACAAAAATGTGCATTTTCGGGGGCAAACTGGTAAAACAAAATTAATTTGAAAAATTTAGTATTTTTAGCGTCAATTTAAAAATGACTTACATTTTGCAAACCAAAGTAATAAGAATTAAGTTATAAAAAAGTTAGCTTTTTTTATTTTCTTGACACTTTTATAGCCACTCCAGTTATAGAAAATTTCCCGTTAAAGCTCAGTAGTTAGAGCACCTGTTTTTACTTGTTTTGGTATCAAGATCGGCTTTATTTTTAAAGATAAATTAAAGTTTGCCTAATTTAGTTAATACAAAACAAGTCATAACAAGGATGCCATTTATGAACTTTTATCAAATTAAATAAGCAATCCATTAAAAAAAAATAAGTTTTTACAAACCTAAATCTATCTTTTAAATTTGGATGAGGGTTTTAAAAACTTTGCACAAGGATTTTTAAACAGATTTATTCAATGTCTAAACTCTTGAAAACTCTTAAAGGCTTGTCTAAAAATAGTGAAACTGATATGATCACATCTCTATGTTAATTACAGGGTTTATGCGAAATATAAAACATTTTTTAAGAAAATATAAAACATTTTTTAAGAAAATATAAAACATTTTTTAAGAAAATATAAAACATTTTTTAAGAAAATATAAAACATTTTTTAAGAAAATATAAAACATTTTTTAAGAAAATATAAAACATTTTTAAAGAAAATATAAAACATTTTTTAAGAAAATATAAAACATTTTTGAAGAAAATATAAAACATAGTTGAATCAATAGTGCAATTGAATCAATAGTGCAATTAATTTAATGTAGTTGAATCAATAGTGCAATTATGATACATAAAGTTATTCATAAATTTCTAAAGAATAAAGATTATTTTTTATATAATTATAACTCATTATACTTAAAGATATAATATAAAAAGCAAAGTATCCACTTTAGTAAAATTTTTGTCTTGCTATGCCTTTCAAAACCCATCTTCTCATATTGTAATACCAACCACAAAAATCAACGCCAATTGTCGGTATAAGCGAATTTAAAGTAGCCTTAACTTCATTGCTAGTTTTTGGAAACGGCCTTATAGAAGTATAATTAGCTTTAAGACAACTATAGTATTCCTCAATCGGGTTCAATTGTGGTGAATAAGGTGGCAAAAAGTAAACTGAAACACTGGATTGGCTGAGCAAATTGATTACATCTCTTCTACGGTGAAATGCACAATTATCCAATACTAGTACAGAATGGGGATACGTTTGGAAATACGGTCTTAAATTGTTGAATTGTTGGTTATAAAATCGCAAAAGGGATTGCCATTATAGGCACTATCTTAAAGCTTAAAATACCATTAACTGTTATAGCGGCCATGAGACTTACATTCTTTCCACGATTTGCTGGCACTGTAACAAAACATTTTGTATTCTTTATAGAATAACCATACTGTTTAGAAGTATGTAAATTAAAGCCTGTTTCATCTAGAAACACTAAGTTATTGTCAGGAATCGAATTAATAGTCCTACAAAAACTTTGTCTTAAATCAATGTTTTGCGGCGAGTTCCTTTCTTTTGGTACTAATGTAAGTCGTTTTCTAGTGAACTCCATCGATTTCAAATATTTAGATATTGTTGGTATAGATGCATTAATATTCCTTTCAACGAGAATGTTTCTCAATGATGCTAACGTATGAGATGGATCATGCTCAATTAACATTCGAATTTCAGATTTAAGTGTCTCGTCATAAGAGCTGCGCCTTCCTTTTTTTACTGATGCGATTTCATCATCACTAAGTCCTTTACAGATTTTATCAG